GCTCTCCTCCTCTTCCTGTGGCTTACGAAGGAAATCAGACAGTATAAATGCTTGTAAGACACACAGGACTAGAAGATTTGAAGACAAACTAACTGCATTTACATTGCCAGAAACATTATAGTTGGGTTTTATTTTTAACATTCCCACACAATATATATAGAGTCTTCTATATAGGCTAAATTAATTCTATACAGTATAGTACACACTCACAACAAGCAGCCAACCGACATGGTGAGCTTCAGCTGCTGAAATCAAGATTGAAGAGTGTTGCTATTTAGAGCAATGCATTTTGAATAGCTGTCAAAAACAATATTAGTCATTTAACTGTACAGAGCGGGTGTGTTGTAGAATTCAGAAATACATATAACGGTCCATGATCAAATGATCTCCTTAAAAATTACGTAGGAAAATAAAAATTTAATTTAAATTCAAAATTCAGTTTTATGGTCACTGCAAAGTGGACTGGAGGCACCAGGATGTTCCGATATCATTGTCATTTGAAGAAACCAGTAAAGGCACAAAAGTGAATTCATCATACGGTGTACTGTCAAGAAATGAAGGATAGATACAGTATTTGTATGTACTGTATGTTATGAAATACCTCCACTGGTACTAAGAACGTATATTTTAGTATGTCCAAACTTTGGAGGCTGCTAATTTGTAAACATCCATTCATGTCCCTGCAGGCATATTCAGTTATTGACATCTTAGCAAATATTTTTTCAGCTCTCTAGTGCACTACCCACACATCCAGATGGTTTTCAGGGTGTGTTGTTTTGGCCCAGTATAAACACAACCGAAATCCTATTTTCTTGCATTCTGTAAGATCTGGTCTGTTTACACAAGATGTCACAAAGTTTTGGGGCAGAAGCCACAGTTCTATAAGTACGCGCAGAAATTTGGGACATAGAAACAAATTATGTCTTGCTATAATTTGATATAGTTCTCTTTTTCAACACATATTGCCTACATGCTATATCCTGATCAGGGGGCAATGCTTCTTTAGAATTTGGCTCACACAGTTAATATAAAATATTACTATCAGTGCAGCAGCAGTATATGTACTGCAATAATTTCCCCCCATTAAGTCACATACAGTGCTTCAGCAGTTACTATCATCCGTTCATTTGTAGAATCAAATCATATTTATCTCAGCTGAAAGTACGTTTTCAAAAATGACATCATTTTTTGAATTATCAGGTAAATATTATGCAGCCCTGGAAGCCTCAGTTTGCCCATTCCTGAACCTTTCCACCTTGTGCCAAAAGAGAAAGCAGCTCTGCTGGTGTTGCTGTGGTTTCTAAGAAGGCCAAAGTTGGGTAATTGCTCATATCAGTGATTACTACAGTAGATGTATATTTTTGGTTGCCACTCCAAGTTGGTAGTGGTGCAGTTCTGCCATTCCACAGCTGTTACATAGCTGGACCTTTCAGTGTTCCCTTTTAGCCTTAAAGTAACACTACACAGTATTTTTGAAAGAGAGGCCCTTTGTTTCATCCCACTCATGTTCTCTTTGTGACTGAGGTCTATAGCTCTGGGGGTGTTGTTTATCACAGCAGCCCCTCTATCCTTTCTCTGCTCCACAGGAATGAGTGATAAGTCAGTGGTGAAGCCTTAATTGACGTGTGAGTCTGAATCCTTTCTTGTTATTTGCAAGTTTTTGTCTCTTGAAAGAAATAAACACTGTTAAAAGCACTTTGTACATAGAAAATAGTGATATTCAGAGTTATGTATATTTGAGTTTAATATATGAGATACTGATCAACTTAGTCAGCTGGGATTATTGCAGCTTCCCTCAGCCTAACATACCACCTCTTGTCGAAGAATACATAGCAAACAGAAATTATGACAAATGTAAAATGACATAATGACTATTCATTTACCACAATTACTTATGTGTTTTTAATATGACAAACATTTCTTATTTAAATTTTTTTTGCTTTCAATTAAATCCGAAGTTTTCAGAATGTCTTGACTGATATTTAGATTTTCAACATCAGTACCACAAACGGCATAATATACTTCTTAACTAACACTAGCTGCCAACATTACTCTCACTCTATAAAAATATAAATTATTGGGCCCCCTTCGGGCAGAAAATTAGACAATAGTTATTGTGTTTTCCATTATTTATATGCAATATTTGGTTGAAACATTGATTGATTGATTCCTAACTGTCTGGCACACCTGAAAAGGATTTTTGAAATCCCTCGATAATAATGACATGTATTGAAAAGGGTAGATAAGAGCTGATATTGTCCTTATTATTCCTTTTCAGAATTCAGACACTGATTTCAACTTAAGTTGAGGATTTTTTTTATAAAATTAAGAATGGGGTACCATATTTTATGACGAGGCTAAGGATATGTGTCACTTTATTGATCAGACATTGTGTTGTGTCCGAGATGCCAAACAACCAGGGACTCTGTGTGGTTCTGACTGTGGCCAAATCTCTACTGTCACAATCCACACGGGGTGTCAGGCAACTGGACTGATGGCAGTGAAACATAGATAGGCACTGCAGGTGTACTTGCCACAGATTATGATTGAGATTAACATAGGTACACGTCTGAAACAAGTTGGAAGACTTAACTATTAAGCAAGTTCGGAGAGGAGAAATGAAAAGCGGTGGTGTTCACAACAGGTGTTCGGAATTCACTCATACAAATATGCAAAGTGTCAACTATATATACATGCCTATCAGAGCTTAATTTTCACCTAAAACTATAACAATCATATTTCTCAACTTGTCTGAAAATTAATATTGACTGATGTATGATGTATGTTATTGGGATTGTGCGCGCGTATGTGTGTAAGTTGCATTGCTCTTGTATTATTCTCTGAGTATGTCCCTTCCTTTGGCTTATTTGCAGTGTAATTTTATTTTGGTCCCACTGCATTGCGCTGCTACATTTAGTGCTCTTCAGAACCACCTTGGTTAGTCTTTTTATACAGATGTACACTCATCGCACATGTCATTCTGTTCGTCTCCTGGTTGGTGCCATATATTCACCTCTTGTCCTGTCAAATATACATTTCCAATATAAAGAATATTTGAATAATGGTCCATCCGTAGACTAATCGGTGTGCATGTACATATGCCGACGTTATGCGCAGATACAGGTGGGAGCACAGGGTACAGTGAGTTGACTTAAAATATTCCCTTTAATTCTTTAGTGGAGGGGTTCCAATAGTATAATGCTTATAATCCCCTTTGTGCACCGAAAATAGAGGGTATGTGCATTTGAGTAGGCTACACTGTCAGGGTTTTTGTTTCAAACTGCTGACTCATTTATTAACTGTAAGGGATAATTTCCTCTCTGCACAACTTAACAAGCTCCCTGTACAACTGTGTTGCAAAATGTCTGTGTTTGTGCGTGTATGTAAAATGAAGCTTAAGTGCACACGTACAGTAAGTGTATGCATGCCTGTGTGAATAATGGATTGACTGTCATTGTGCGTGATTATGGTGAATGAATCTGATGGAAGATGCTCCAGTTGTTTAACATGTGACCAAAGTAGCCATTGTTTAATCTCACAATTCCTTTCTGTACATTATTTTCTAGAAATGCTTGAATATTTTTTTCTCGATGCCAAGAAGCTGATGTTTATTTTTGTACTTCATTGTTTCACGCAAATTTATATTTCCCTCTCCATTTACTAAATTTAAGTGATTGGGATTCTACAGAACACTCATTATGGTACTTTATTTGAAGGTACTGTTATAACTAGTTAATGTTGAAAGCATGCCCTAAATATAAATCAACATAAAAGCATAGAGTACATACAAAATGTGATTTATTTGTACAAAATGGAGCATATCTAACATTTTTAAGTTTATATTCTAGCATGCAGATTACTGCTAAAATTTTGTTTTATGTTTAACAATTAAAAGATTTATTATTTAGGAATAGGACTAACAATGAGCACTTTTGCTGTGTATCAGACAGAATCGTACTCCCTTGAACTTTTGAGAGTGGAAGATGGTCGTTATTTTATTTGAAATGCTGCTATCATTAGTTTTGAGCAGACAAGCTGTTTTTAAATTAACTTTAAGCCAAGTAGCAATAAAACTTTTTACTGTGAATTCTTTGGTCCGGCGTCCATTTTACTCAACGTTTTTATGATGATTTCATGACAATAAATTTTTTTTTTGATCAATATAAGATAAAATTGTATTATTATACAATTATATTTTGTCATTAATTCTAAAATCTTGTAATTACTATAACGCGGAGGTGGACAGTAACTAAGTACATTTACTCAAGTACTGTACTTTAGTATTTTCTTTTCATGCTACTTTCTACTTCTACTCCACTACATTTCAAAGGCAAATATAGTACTTTTTAGCAGCTACTTTACAATTAAGCCGTATACACACAAAACAAAAATATGTAGAGTTTATAAAATATAATGTTTTGTTATAAAATAAACTACCCAACAGTCAGTCAAATGAATCAGAAGAAACACAGAACACTACTGTGGACATATTTACAATCAAATTATGTGCTGAACACAGTAGATCTGCCATCTATTGGTGCAACTCAGAATGACATCCTAAACTTTATATAAGGGTTGATGAAGCTTAAATGTAACAAAACTCCTGGTATCAAAGACTTTTAGGGAGGAACAAAGTCAGACATTTTGTTTTAAGAAAGATTCAAATCTGTCTATTACAGTACAACTGAGCTTCAGTCTGACAGAGCTGAGATCTTAGGAATGCACATTAGTTTAGGTCTGGGAACACAAATGATTTGACATTAAAAGATCTCGGCCTTTTAAATCCCTAGGGACTGTACCTGGGTAACATATCAGACAACCTCATTCTGTCAGTGGCTGATATTCTTTGCTGCAAATTGCTGTTTGTCTATGCTACATAACTGACTCTTAAAGAAAGAATGAACAAATAGCATCTAGGTGTTTTTCTGGCAATCAAACTGCTTCTCTATCTGCCTTTTAATTAAAGAAAACAAAACAAAAAATGAGTAATAAAACAATAATTTATATACCATGAGTCATTTATTATAGGCTATCTACACATTTAGAAAATAAATGTAACAGAATACAGTGGCATAGAACAGTGGTACGAATAAAAACAAATTCTACAAAAACAGCTTAAACTTCTTAAAGCGGATAAAAAGATGATTCACAGATCACATTCTACATGAGTGCATACACAATTACACCTAATATGAGGAAAAAAAACTCTTCCCATGTTTGCTTGTCACTCAGATTTCCACTAAATCCCACATTTGTTCAAATAGGCTATGTCAATGAGGAAACCCAGTTTACAAGTTATTGTCCTCGTTTGTCCTTTGCGTCTTTAGCTCCCGCACTGACCTGAAAGCTCTGACAGCTAACACCGCGCCAAAGATGAATGCAAACACCCCCAGCACCCCGAAGAGACCTCCTGCGATATCTGCACCGTTGAGCTGGCAATCGAAGCCCTTGTGCCCTTTGCTCTTGTACATCGCCTCTCTCTCCGCGCAGATGGGGTTGCTGTACGTTTCCTGCAGCTTAATAAAGTAGAAGGCCAGCGCAGGGATGTAGCCCAGGCCGATCAGGAGGTTCAGCAGGGCCTCCCCCAGAAGCACAGGGGGCCAGCGGAAAGGCACTCTGAAAACCCCCAGGGCAAGCATGGCACAGGCGTAGATCATTAAAACCCCCCCGCATGCCATGGTGTAGGCGTACGGAGGCCGCTTGAGCTGATTGAACAGCCGGTCCAGCTCCTTCACCCTGTCTGCATCGGCTGCAGTGAAGGTATTGGCTCCACCGAATTGATAATAGTAGATCCCCCCAAGGCTGGCCAGGTCACGGTAACCCTCATTGTTACTGTATGGCACTCCGGCACAGATGATAATCAGCAGATTCACAAACAACTCCATAAACTGGCAGAGACCTGAAGGACACAGGACAGACACTGACATGAATGTATATAGGCTAAGCAGTAAGTCTGGAACGACGAGTTAATTTACTCTGTTGATGATCGACAAAAATGTTTACTTACTTTCAATCAAAAAAAAAAAAGCCAAATAATAGCTGGTAGCAATTCTCTGGTGAGTGGATTTGCTGCTTTACTTTGTCCTATATTATCATAGGTTTCATGTGCACTGGGGACGCTGGGGACTTGTCCCCACCACATTTTGAAATGGCTGTTTTTGTCCCCCATCACTTTTTGAAAGCATTTGTTAAAAATGTTCTGACAAACAGCTTGTGTGAAAATGCTTTGAGAAAGGTTTATTTGCACAATACCAAAACATGCAATGCAATTTAAATAATGTGCATTGTCCAAAAAAAGTAACTTAAAAGGAAAAACCAGCAAGCTGCTGAGTTATATTTTTATTTTTATGAGCTTTCACCTGCCAGCTGGCTTTTTTGTTTCCCTTTATATAAAAAAAGACATTTCCACCATAACGTGGGGAAGAACATGTCTCCACAATACAGGAAATTAAGTTTTTCATGCTGAAATTTTCAGGCGGAGGACCCCCGCTCATATATTTTTGAATTTCATAAAAATCTTCTTCTCTTGCATCGTCTCGTGCATCATCACGTCTCGTGACCCAAGTGTATAATCATGCCCCTAATCAGAGCACTTATATCCCCACCACTTTTCAACACAAAGTGACGCCCTTGTATATGTTAATAAAGGGAAAATCTTGTAGGTTTTGGACTGTTGTCCGCATAAAACAAGACATTTCAGTAGGCCAGGAAAGTCTAATGGGCATTTTTCACTAACATTCTATATAGGCCTAGCCTAACAAAATGATTAATCAATTAATTGCGAGCCCCAAATACAAATGAACAGTACTAAAATCCCTGTTCCAACTCAGCCCTTAACATTTTCATAGGCTATTATGGTATATTATCACATGCATGGGTAAAGTGCAACATTCTGACTTTTTAATCAATGTACACTTTTAATCTGACAGTATAAAGCACATTTGATGGATGATTAAAACGAGGGAACAATAAACACATTTTACGTCATGCTGACAAGCACGAGCTTTGATCGCAACCAACAGAAGAAATAAATATACTTGCCTCTACTTGTTAATAAGTATCTGAGATTGTAAAGAGCTTGACTGCGTTGTGGCTCATAATACTCCCCCTCAGAGTGATACACCAAAGTCTCTCTGGACCTGCAAGAACAACACTGTTTTTACACTGAGATAGAATTCATTCAGTTTCAATTCAATGAGGCATTGTAATGGGAAACAGATGTTTGCATTGCCAAAGCAGGTGTGAAATAAAAGAATATAGGCCTTACATAAACAGAAGAATTGTAACTTTGCTATTAAAATTATTTATTGTTGCCTAAATTATAGGGCTAGATAAGTAAATATGTTTACATACACAAGTATAACCATTCTTTATCTACAAATAATATAATTTTACACAGAAATATAAATAACTAATATAATAAAAATAACCCTTTCACATATGGTCAAAAGTGTGTGTGTAGGCTATGTGGGAGACAGGACAGTGAGTGCAGGGACTTGTGTAGGCCTGTACGGGCTCTTACAATCTCGAGGGTCCTTCATGGCCGTGGTCTCTGTAAGTAGGTGGCTCCATGTGAGAGGCAGATGTCACGTCCCTCTGTCTATTTTGTTTGGCCCTCCTGTCATCCGCAGAGCCTCTCTCGTCCATGTCTCTTATTGGCTTTTGGTTGCGACCTCTGCTATCATGTGAAGCATGGGTTCCACTGTGTGAATAGGTCCCATCCCTGCTGTAGTACTCATCATACACATCACTCCTCTGCTGGTGTCTTCCCCTCTCTGGCATTTCCCACTGCCTACAGAAGATTATGGACATGAAGCCTATTACACACACTCATAAACAAAGTAGGGTAGAGTTGACTTGGATCTCTGTAACTGCCACCGTGGTTGGTAATTAAAGCAGCATGAAGGATCATTTAGGCTAATGAAGATAAAGGACTGGGTGAGGTAAAGAACCAAAGTAAGAAGTTTCTTCATTCATAAAGTGGCTATAAGGGCAAAAGGTGGTGACGATTTTGGGGCCCACAAACATTCCAGTAAACAAACACAAAGTCAGCAAACTAATCAGACGTGTACGTGATTCCATCTGACTTTATTTCAACATAGGAGCCCAGAGCAGTATCTAGTAAGAGGCCCACAATTCTTGACAACGCTCCTTTCTTCCCTGTTGCGAAGTTTCGTGTTCCGAGTTCACGTTTCACATGTCACAGGTTAGTGAATAATATAAAGATAGACTACAGCATTAGGCTATTATTTCCTACCTTGGAATTTGGATTGTGTACACAATCTGGTCTTGTTTTCGTCTGAGCTGAGAAAATTAACAGCCAACCTTTCACAACTTTCCCAGCTTCCTGTGTTTGAGATTGGCTTCGCCTGCCCCTCACCTGTGCTGTGCCACGCCCACTGGTTTCAAGCAATTTACAGGGGAAATACGTTTTTTGCCTTATTTTCCCAATGTACAGTATCTTCCAGTGTGTTGGGTGTATGCATGGTGTAGGCTTATATGTAGTATTATAATTTATCGTATCCTAATGTAAGGACTTTAATATATTTGTTTATGAGAGACTAGTTTACAACATTTAATTCAGTGGTAGGTTTGATCTAAATATAACAGGAAGCTGACAACTTCACTAGAGTTCAATAAAAACCGGAAATTGTTTAAAAACTGTTGGTTTCAACCATGCTGAACTTCCCAAAACAAAAATTTGCGATTCATGCCCCAACCCGGACGTGAAGGGATACAGCGCACGCGGCCACGCTTCCATCGTGAAGCGCGTGGCAACGTTCCGCATTTCCGCCGAGCAATATATACATTTCAAAATAATTGTTGCTTAAAAGTGTAACTATTCTACGTCACTTCAGGGCCCCCAAAGCGATGGGCTTACCGTCAAATGGCTTCTGCTAATTTGTTCGAAATTTATTTTTAGAATGTCAAAAATTTCAACTGACATGAGAAAGAATGTATAACATTTTGTTTTCATAGCCTATACATTCCTAATTCATTATGATTATTTAAACTCCTACGCCTCCTCCTACTGGGAAAGGAGAATCAGAATCAGAAAGAGCTTTATTGCAGAGTAGTATTTTACATGTATGAGGAATTTGCTATGGTGATAAGGTGACAAATGTAGACAAACATACAGTTGACAAATAAATGTAAAAATATATTAATATGAAATAAACAGATGAAAGTTATAAAAGAAGAACATAACTATGTGTAGAGAAAAAACATAGATATATAGATATAATAGATATTTACATGTGTATTATTCCGGGTTTGTGTTATGGAGACACATTGCAGGGGGAGAGGGTTTGTATTTATATTAATATATAAATTGACAAAATATAAAAATGTAGAACAATAATATGATAATAATAATATGTGCAATATGACAGTTTTGTATAATTTCAAATATAATATCATAATAACTGTAGGGAAGTTCTGATATGTGTCGCTCCATTATGCACCCAAGAGATCAGAGGCCACAGATGATCTTTAGTTAAATATCAAGACTTTTATTATGAAGTCCGAGAACAAACATCATCGGAAGTGTTGGTCGTTATTCCTCGAGCTCACGCTACCACTACAACCGACCGCGCGCTGGCTTGGCTAGCAAGCGAGGAAGAGGCTAGACAGAAATGGCGGTGACGGCAAGGCGAGCAGCATGAAGTGCTGATGCATTACATGGATCAAAACCTACGACTGCCAGGACAACGTCGGGAAAATGACAATGACGTCGAAGTAGGACGCCTTTTGTAACTGGCATTACAAACCTGCAACACCTTCCCGGGAGAGTTTTCATCTTGTCAGCGGAGGAGAGAAAATCTCACCGGGAGCATGGCTTCTTACAGCAACCAGGTAGCTAAGCTAGATGGCTAACGTTAGCCTGCACAACAGCTCCTGCTGCACACCGTGTAATGTTATTTATAGACTCACGGCCGCACCTCATTTGTACAACATTCTGCCCTAAAAATAGTGTCATACCATAGTAACGATTTGGCCCAGTGCGCGTTGTTATTTGAAACGTTTGGGTAGTCGTGTCATTGAAAATGTAAGTGCTGAAAAGTGCTTGCTAATGCCCCCTTAAGCCTCATTGAAATACCACCAGCATGGTAGCTAACAGGCCCTAGGTCCCCCCATTCAAATGAGTCAACCGTACAGTTTGCTGCAGTTTTTAAGGGTAGGACAGCCACGTTTAGCTAAATGATATGAAAGCGTGCTTAATCTAATGTTAGTGACATTTGATGTGAGATCCCACAAGTGTCATGTGTTATTTCCCAGAGAAAAGTGACACAGAAAACTGCTGCGTGTATGCATGGCCCACCTGCTCAGTCCTGCGACAGGCCTTTCCCGAGCGCATATGTTCATAACTTGTAATAACTGCAAATTCGTTTTGTCCTGTGTAGTTAGGAGGCATAAGAACGGTTTGGTAGAAATGTTTTGCATGTGATAATTGGCCGTTTCTAAGCAGTCGGGAGCAAGAATATAACATTTTCGTGACGTTGCCTTGGCTTTCTAGCAAGCTAACAGCTTTGCACAGGTGGTGTGGTTGTCTTTGCAGTCAGTCCGCTAGCTGGATAGCTAAATACAAATGCGACAGTGTGGGCCTTCGTTGAAAGCGAAAATGTATTTGCTATGGAAACAATTAAAATACAGGATTGAACTTGCACAGTACAGACAAAGTGTGCTGCTAGACCGTCAGTCTCCGTGTGACTAAGATTGCAGATAACATAGTATGTTTAGTGTCATTTCTGAGGCAGTTAGCTATCATGTGGGAAGGCCCATTTTGAAGTCGAGCTATGCATGCAGATACATGCCAGGTGTGAAGTTTCTAGTAGTTAACTGAATCAAAGTTTAACTTGAAACTAAAATACGCAGAGTAAAAATAAAACTTTAGCTAGTTAGGGATACTTAAGCAGGTTCAAACTCTGGCTGGCCGTTCAAGAAACGGAACATGGCTAGCGACCATATGAAGGGAAACCTCACTGGACACTTAATTCTGCATGCTTTCACACGTCTTCCTGCCCTCAAACACAGTGTTGCTGTTGGCTCACTGTTCAGCATAGTGAAAGCTTGGGGAAAACCCGTGTCAGCATAAAGTAGTTAGGTTTTTAATGACTTGTATGATGACAGGTCAAATATTATTTGGCCTTTAAAATGAATGATCATATATGTACCAGTTGATATTGAATTATCCTACAATGATGAGGGTATTTATTGTTATATTATGTAAAAACAGAATATAATCGACATAGAAATGTTTTTAAATTGCCTACATTAAGTATTGACAGACAGGGCTACATAGTAAGTTACCCATTTTCCTTGGGCAACTGGATATGGACCTCTGTCAGCGATTTGTTTGGTCTGATTACCCCACTGTGCAACCATTTTTCCTGTGTCACAAAAATGCTCTTTAAAAGCTGTGTTGGTTTAAAAAAAAAAAAAAAAATCCAGGCGTCACAAAAGTTGACAAATATGTGGGGAAGTCAGGCAGTAATAGGGATATCACTCTTCTGAGTATGAACTTGACAAAACAGGTCATTCTGGAAATACTTAAAAATACTCTTCTTTATCTGCAGATTTAAAAAAAACAGCATTTATCTGACAGCTGGCAAAGTACAACAGCAGATGCTAAAATTCTGTTTACGCTAATGTATTCTATTAATACATTATCTATAAATATGCCACATAAATTAGCCTAATTAGTAAAGCTGAGTCATTGAGACATTACACTGGATAAAAGATGTTTTTTTAGGCAATGGTAAAGTAAATAAAATCAGTGAGATTAGGATGGAATTGCAGTAATACATACAGGCTGCAGTCAGTTTATTACATTTAAAGAAGACATTACTAAAAAAAAATATCCTTTTTCAAACTGGCTTGTAAATATCACATTTATACATAAGCCTGACAGTCACATATCTGTTATGTTAAATTGTTTAGCTTTGACAGTTAATTATGAAGTTGGTCAGTAGTTTGTGGTGTATCACAGTGGATTTAGAAGTTGAATGTGTCACCACCAACTTGACAACAATGGCAAATAACATTTAGGCTTATGGGTTTAGTTCAGGCACTAAGACATTTGTTGACTTCCAAACACTATTACAAACACAAGGAGGAGCCATAGTTGCATTTATTTCTTTATTACATGGAACATGGCAACTGTAGTTTATTTCTCTCAACTCATCAAAGTAGTAAAAGTGTACACAAGAAAGCTCCCAGTGCATGCACATTGATGTCTGCCTTCAGTCATGCAGTTATAGAATATCTGTTCACATGATAAGGAGCAACATTTTGCCGAAGCATAAATCTGTGAGATAGATTCGTCACCACTCCCGTTGGCAAAAAGTACACACTATATGCACAAACAAATCAGAAGTAGCCCAAAGTTTCTGCTTAGTCATGCCAAATGCATACGGAATGGAAATGAACCAGAAGTGTAGCTACAAATTCAATCTCCAAATTAGTATAGTTGTGTTAATTAGGTCCAGACTCAAATATAACAACAAATATTGCTTGGAGTGCGAGTCTATTTGGTGCAGATATTCATATTCCCCCTTCTCACATTTTGGTGACGCCACAGGTCAATTTCCCACTTTCCCAACACACACCTTCAACAAGACCTATTTAAAACTCAAGTTAATTCCCAGCATCCTCAGCTGTACTTTGAGATTTGCATTTTACCCGTAGCATGTCACACTAACGTGCTAATTGTTAATATTTTATGATTTAATCTGTAAGCATGCTAAGATACTTAATGTTAGCATGCTACTGACTGTTGAATATCAAAATTAGGGCAGTGGCTTATGATTATGATCATTATCAGTTAGTCTACCCAAATATTTTCTCGATTAGCTCTATAAAATATTAGAAAATGATGAGTCCACGGTCTTAAATGTCTTGTTTTGTCTTTTCAACTGTGTGTGCTTAAAAAATAATGACGGCAATAATGAATCGTGGTAGCAGAGAGAGGCCTTTTATAACCCAAATGTATTTATGTCAACGTGTAGAATAAGTACCACAGCTGGGTGAATATAAGGTGGAGGTGGTACCATCGTGGGCTCATGGAAAAACTTTTTATAAGCAACATTTTAAGAGTTCTACTATTATATGATTGAAGAAAATTTCAAATCATGTAAAAACATTTTATTGGAAAAAAATTTTGCCCTGTTCATTATTAAATCAAATACGACATTAAAGCTAATGTGTTAATTTACACAGTTAACAAACATTAAGTTGTTTAAAATCAAATTTAAGCTATCGCTTTTATTAATAGTTCAGTTATTTCCTTCCATTTCAGTGTAAACAAATGCAAAGTGGTTTAGTAGCCACTCTACAGGACGGCGTTAAGTCACATGTAGAGTAGCATTCATAAACGCTGCCTACACGTTGCATCAAAATTTTTAAACACCTGCTGGCGATATAAAACTATATTTAAACATTAAACAGGAGGGGTGCGTTTAGCTCAGTTGGTAGAGTGCACGCCCGGGGAAAAATCTCAGTCCTTACTGCAGCGGCCCATGTTCAAATCCAGCCTGCCCCTATCTCTCTTTCTTTCCTCATTCTATGCACTGATCTATCAAATAAAGGCACAAAATGCCCAAAAATATCTTTAAAAAATAACATCGAACAGCAGGCAAAGCAATTTGTTTTTTTGCTGACATTGCCAGCGGATCCGTC